TGTCTTGATAAACGATTTTTACCCAAGCAATTTCCTTGAGAGAGATGACTTAGGGTTTCCACTCTACTACAAATTTTCTAAACCCTAATAAAAAAAAAATTTAATTTGCGCGAGTTCGACAGCTCGTGTCACTATGTAATGATGATTCTTCGACATGATATATGCGACATCAAGTGAACGCGTCGAAGCCATACCGCGCATAAAGAATATATATATATCTCCTAACTTTGTAAAATACCAAAGCTGTGAGCTAGGGGGCAACTGATCTGGATAAAATACAGTAGGCCCATTAAAGGTTAAAAGCCCAAAGATCAAGGCTCAAACCCACAAGGCCCATAACAAGGTGCGATGTCCTCAATCGCACATCATAGGGCGCGATGGTATCATCGCGCCAGAACCACCTTTCAACATGGCTTCAGAGTTAAGGAAACAATCAAAGAAACTAATAAAGATTCACCGCACCATTGAACAAATAAACAGAAGACAGCACCAGCTTCCCACCTCTTTACCAAGATAGCCTGACATAATGAGATAAGGCTAAAGAAGCACTAGCTAAAACTGCAGCCCATGAACAACCAATCAGAAGTCATACCGCCTATCAAAGGCGGCATTAGATTCACTATATAAACAAATGATACATGCTCAGGTATAACAATCTAATTCAGTAAGAATACACATAAAACCTGACATTGATACTGACTTGAGCGTCAGAGTGTCATTACAGGTACCCTCAGCCAGAATCATCGTGCCCGAGAATCATTCTCATCACATCATCAACAACTTCCACCAAGTCCAGGAAACAGATATCAAATGCAACTACTCAAGTACCATATGAACTGTATTAGAGAGTTGATTTGGAAAAGTGAGGGGAAGGGGATAAACATCCCTAAGACTAAGAGCCTCTCGCTCCACCATTGCAAACAGTAAACCTTTAAACTTACTTAAATAATAAATATTACGTGAAATATAAAAATATACCACGTGAAATAATACATCTGCATCAAAACAAGTTAATATTCGCACGTCTTACACAGAATAAATTAATAAGATTTTACTTTACTGCTAATGTCGAACACGAATAGCTAGCGTTAGCAAATTACGTCATGGTAATGATGTAATGATTACAGAGCTTATTAAATTTGACAAGTAATAATAAAAAAACTCTTTTACCAATATCACGTGATGAATCTAAATTAATTAATCAATTTAGACAAAAGAGTAATCCAATAAATTAAGATGACTCTTTTAAGTCTTTTGTCTTTTGTTTAAGTATCATTATGAAAGAATGCAATGTGGACGTGTGAATCAACTTTGAGTGTGTTTGTATTTTTTTTTTTTTAAGTTAGAAGTTATTTATAAGTTCAAGTTAAAAAAAAAGATGCTAAAATTGTTTAGCAATTATTTAAAAAATTTAGCTTAAAAATTACTTAAAAGCACACATTTTAAAAAAAAATTCTTTCTCTATCTCTATCTTTATCTCTATAGCTTTTTTTTTCAAAAAAATATACACAATTCAAAAAAAAGTAAATAAAAGCTTAAAAAAATTTCTCCTAGAAACTTTTTTTAGCTTTTAGAATATTCACATATTTTATTTTCAAATAGTCATTTTCTTTTTATATTATATAATTCCTCTTAATCATACAATCTTTTTTATAAGATTTCTTATTTAATAAATGTTAAATTGAAAAATATTATCGTTATATATTTTTCAACTAAATCAGTATTTTGAATATTTTTATTAGATATTAAAATATTAAAATTTATTTTGTTATTAAATGCAAGAAAAAGAAACTAAATCTTTAATATTAATTTAAAAATTAAAAAGTCACATAGGCATGAAATTTTTTTAAATAAAATATATGAATATTTAAATCACAACGATAAATAGTTGCTTCAAAAAAAGGATGAAATTTTTATATAAAAGTATATTAATAAATAAATCATAAAAATAAATCTTAACGTTATGAAAGCGTAAATGTTTAAGTCTTGGGATAAATATTTGTATCACAGAATATGAAGAATTTAATTGCATGAAAGATTATTAAAATTTGAATTATATTGATAAATGTTTGAATCATATATAAGTAGAAGCCCTATATAAAAGTATATATTTAAAGGCTTTAATGTTTTTACAGTAAAAAATATATTTTCGTCTTTACCAAAAAAAAAGAATAAGACATTTTCGTTATAAAATGTCCGTTAGAAGATGAATGTCGAAGAAGAAAGGCTCCCGGAGATGAGAAATTTTTGTCAACGAAACAATGGTGAATAGGGAAGATTGATGCGTTCAGAAGTGTTGATTAAAAAAAAAAAAAGAGCGATGCTCCTGCCACGAGCACATATCTGATGCTAAAGCATGTCCACCTTTAACGATAAGTAGGGGTGCTAAATGAACCAGAGACCTTTAGCTCGACTCGTGAAGGCCTGAGTTTATATGTCTAAAATTAGTTGTTGGCACCAGGTTTGAACTTGTATAAAAGTGCGTTTAATAAAAAGGCATCATGCTCCAATTCAAAAGCTCGGCCTTAGAGTTTCTCAGGCTACCTAGTATATTATTTCTTATTTTTATTTTATATTTTTTATACTTCTTGTTATAGCCTTTTTTTTTCTTCTCAATCCATTTCACCACATTTTATTGGTTAAATATACTTTTTGAATGATTTTGTTCTATATTATGCTATTTGAATATACATTGAATTTATGAATATTTATGGAATCATTAGTGTTATTGATTGTATATTTTGTTCGGATAAATTTTTGTTGTTTTATTTTTTTTTAAACAGGCTAACAAGCTAAATCAGACTTTTATTTTTTGTAAATAAGTCAGGTCACATGTCAATAATTATATTTATAACAGGTAACAGACATGATCAGACTAACACATTTAAACACGAACTTAATCTTTTAATTAAGACCGAAACTCAGTTCGGCGCAGCCCGTTAAGACCCCTAACCATGAGCATATAGAGTTAAAGGTATCAAACTATGTCTATCCACCCCTTTAGGCCTTAGCCCATATGGGTGAGGGCTAAAAAGCTCATATTAATAAAGGTACCATAGGCCAAAAGGTCGACAAAGTCTCGTGGGCTAGGGTCAACCCTAAACCCATACTAATAGATAAACATTTAACACTTCCTTAAAATATTTTAAATAAAATATTTATTTTTATTATTTTAATGAATAATATTTGCACACAAATATAAAACTGAAGTGTAAGCAAAATTTTGATTATTTTCTTGATAAACATTGAACAGTTGGTTTTATTAAAAACAATAAAGTCCTTACTTTTATTATGTTCTAGAATAATGATATTTATTATTGGGTTCGCTTTTTCTGCAATTACGACAGATTATCTGCAGTAAACTCAATACGACGTCGTTTTGAGAAGAAAATCATGGTGTTTTTTTAATTTTAATTTATTTCAGGATTATTATAGTCTTTATAATTATAATTTTCTAATCTTTCAATCCCAAAATGACGTTGTTTTGGAAGTAAATGCAGATAACTTATCTGCATTAACTGTAGCAATATTTTTCCCTTTATTATTAAGTAATCTTACAATGAAAATTTTTATTATTCAATAATATTTTAGTTTAGATTAAATTTTGAGGGTTTACCTTTTTTGAAACAAATAGTTAAATAAAATTCTATATGGCCCTCTCAACTTTTTTGTTCCAAAAAATTAACTAATACTAAAATTGGAAATATTTTTCTATAATTTAATATTTTTCACAGAACTTTTATACTTTTTTTTTTTTATAGACGAACTTTTATACTTTTAACATTATTATAATTAAAGTATAAATGGATGTTTATAGTTATAGAAAATATTTTGCATTGCTATATTATAAAAAAATTTAGAAACATAAAAATTATGTTAAAATATTTTAAATTATATGATCCTATTTAAAAATTTAATAAATTTATAAAATTTACAAAATAAATTTAGCTTGTTATAAAAACTTAAAGATAAATGCTGAGAGTTTATTAATTGTCAATTTGTTTAACAGAAAAAGAGAAAGATTTAAGTGAATCTCATAATGAATTTTCTCATGTTTAATTTTAATATGATCAAGTCATATAAATCTCAAACATCAATGACTGATCAACAATTAATAACTAATTTAAATATTTCTTCTTTTTTATTTTATAAATTTTGTCATTAAAAGTGTGACCATTAATCTCCTATTGAATGATCGACATTTATCACATGACATGATCGGTCATGTTAAAATTAAATACGAGAGGATGCTTTCACATGGGACTTAATTATTGCTACACAAAATTTTAAATATTAACTATTAAAAAAATAATTTTTAAATTTCCAGACTGGTGGATTCAAATTTGGATGACTCAAAGAATGTAAACCTATTTATTTTATCTCTTTAAAATTATTTAAAATTTGATACAAGGTCATTTTTAAGTATTGAATTTACAAATATTTTAACTCTATAGTTAATTTTACTACAAATATCTTATAAGAATAAATAAAAATAATTTTAAATGGGGAAGGAAATATCTCACATAAATAGTTCAAAATAAACAATTAAAATAAATAAAAAACATCTTATTGAATCGTTAAAATATATATTTGTTATATATATATTCTATAAAACTATATATAAAGTATATTTTATTTATTGTATTACATTTATAAATATATTTAAATATATATTTTTATCTATACTTTTTATTATTATTATTTTAATAATGAGAGTTTTGGTGAAAAAATGAAAAGTTGAACAATGAATAATATCCAACTCAGTCCGCTAAATTGCAGAAATTTTTTGATAATGAAATTGTAGGAATTTAAATATTAAGACTTGAAAAAAACTTATCTCAAGAGTTACTGACGCATTTGAATTTAATAACATCAATTGAAACAATATAGTATATTTATCCTTTTATGATATTCCAATTTTCTTACTTGTCAATTTTCACTTTTTTTTTCAAGAGCCTTACTATGAAAAACTCGAGAAATCAAGCAAAGTCTTCAAGATTCTACAACAAATATGCACCGTCGTAGAAATTTGGTATCAAGAAGGCTCCGCTTTCACCACTACATATCTCATCAGTATATGTATTTTCTGCGACGAATGGTTCAGTCCAAAAATCGCCGCTAAATTCTTCGAATGTTACCCATGGAGCAACACTAAAATCTTCTTTTCCTCTGGAGCAGTTCATGGTTGATTGTGCAACATTAGAGGTAAGGGAATCGTTGTCTCCTTCTGAAGTTTCTGTCGACATGGGCAATGAGCTTTCGAAAATGTTATGAAAATCATCACCAACATCAGCATCTGGGCTTTCAGATCTTACAAACTTACAAGTCGCATTTCCTTCAAGACTATTACCTGGCTTCGACTTCAACTCACATGTTGTGTTCTCTTTGCTCTTCAAGCACTTTTTTAGGTGGCTATGCCAATAGTTCTTTACCTCATTGTCCGTTCTCCCAGGCAGTTTTTCAGCAATCTGGGACCATCTGTGAAGTCAGAGATACTAAAGATTAAATACTAATATTGATATTATTAAAGAGATATAAAGTAAAACCATTAAAAAACACATCACTTGACAGCTTGAGTTGAAATAGTTGTTTATCACGGTACACTACAAGAAAACTGGTATTTGGAAGCTGTTTAATTGAGGCGGTTTCAGCTAAACCGCCTCCAATTGATACATAGAGGCGGTTAAAATAACCGTCTCCATTTACCATTCAGAGGCGATTACATTAAAATTGCCACTAATTGCTACTTTTAGAGGCGGTTAAACCATAACCACCTCCAAATGTATATTAGACCCGGTTAAAATAATTGCCTCCATTGACCATTTAAAGGCGGTTGAGATATAATCGCCTCTAAATGCAGCAATTAGAGGCGATTTTAATATAATCGCTTCTGAATGGAAATGAGGGCAGTTAGAATAACCGCCTCAGATTATCTTTTGGAGCGGTTAAAATAATGGCCTTAGAATATATTTTGGAGGCAGTTAGAATAATCGTCTCAGATTGTCATGTAGAGTCAATTATTCTAGCGATTTGTGAAAACTGCAATATTTTGCCTCGCGATGGTGGTAAACAAGGCTTTGTATGAACCGCCGAACCAAGCATTTAGAGACGGTTTGAACCTCCTCAAAATACAAATATAACCGCCTCTGAAAACCACTTTTCTTGTAGTATCTGAGATATAATATAAAATGTACTTGTGTAATATTCACCTTTCAAAGACAAAAGATATAATATAAAATTATTAAAAATCCATCACTCAACAGTTTGAGCTGTTACGTTATCTAATTGTTTATCGTATATTAAAGAAAATTATGCAACTTTGTATGATCAAAGATGAGATAGTCAATCAATAGCTAGTAATCTGGTTTAGATGAAATTGGTATGTCGAAATTTTAAGTTTGAGTTTATTATACTTAGCTTGTTCAACCATCTTTCCTTCTTCTAGTTGAATTACAATAAGACAGAATCGAAGTATAATAAGAAGAAAAAATAAATAAATATATAGCAAATAATTTAATTATGTATTAAAAAATAACTTGGACACCTGTTCAGATTGTTCAATATTTTTTTTTTCCCATTTCGATTGTATGGAACTCTCCCAAAACATATACAAAAGTAATGGATCACTTGGACACTCAAAATCTATGATTCATGCAAAATAAATAAACAATAGCCATGAAATTTAGAATAAATTATAAATAACAGAAAACTTATATACTTATTTCCAAGTTGTTGGTGTAATTTCATGATTAATTCAACTTCCTCTTGGGTGTAGTTCCCATGTTTTAGATCTGGCCTCAAGTAATTCAACCAACGAAGTCTGCAACTTTTCCCACACCTTGCTAAACCTGTAACAAGTGTTAGTCACTAATTAACTACACTTCAACTAATCAATCCCATATTTTAGATTTCTTATTCCTTATTACAAAACTGAAACTATTCAGGAAGGTACTTCATGATATATAGTTGAGTACCATGGATATTAATAACGACAATCAATGTTAAAAGTGGAAATTAACAAGTAAAAACTAAGCTTTGATCATCGTCGTACAATTGCAAGTAATTAATACTGAATCAAACTTTTGTACAACGCAGTGCTGGAAATTTTTTGCATTTACATGGAGCCCAAATCGAATCTTACATACCTGCGAACTTGGGGAGTTGACGCCAATTAAAATGACCATATCTCTGAATATAAGCTCTTAACCTCTCGTCCTCTTCTTTACTCCATGCCCCTTTCTTGATTCCATTTTTATCATAGGAAGGAGCTCTTACCATCTCTTAATGATTAGGCTTTTGGTTTATCCTAGACAATTAACTACGCGTACAACTCAAAGCACCTTAATTAGAATTTGTCAGCTTTTTATACAATTTAAAGGCAATTACAAATTAAACCGCGGGCCATGTGCTGAGACAGTTCCATTCATTAATGATAGAAAAGTGGACCAAAACCGATCTAGGTCATGACAAGTTGTTTACCACCAAATAGAAATAAAAAAAGAAGCTTTCACACCCGAGCTAGATATAGGATTTAACACGTCTACATACAGGGAAATAGATTTTCAATTTCTGACAGTGGTGACCTAGGAGGGTGAAAAGTTTCAAATTTAATATCGAATAGTCGGGCTCGTTAGGATTTCAGATACTCTAATTGGTATATACCAAACAAATTCAAATACAAAACCAAATTAATAAATTTATTAGGACTTTGGACACAAATTGATATCTAAAAATACGCTTTGGGGGGCTATAAATTCCTAATGTCATAGAATTATAATGCGATAAAATTTATATGAACGCTTACGTATGAAATATTAGAAGTCAACCCTCAAGGGATTGATTTTACTGTATAGATTATCATGTGATGGGTAAGTAATTACTGCAAAAAGTTATATTTGTTCGGCTTCCTCCTTCAATGCTAAGCCCAAGCCCATTGAGGGGTTTCCTAAAAACCCTAACCCTAAATTTCATTTCCTCTATATATTCATTAGTTGAGGTGGAGGCTAGGTCTAATGTTAGAAGAGATTAGAGAAAAAAATTTGAGAGAATTATTTGATTGTTTGAGCAAAGCTTTATGCTTTGTATTTGAGAGATCTCTAGAGAGAGTTTGAGTGAAACATCTTTAGGGATGTTTGATTATCACCATTGCTGGAGAGGTTGAGTTAACCACCACATCGGTGATTCTGATTATTTGTAACCATTATTTTCATAGTGGATTTCTGATCTGGACTAGGTCCCGTGAGTTTACTTCTTCATTGAAGAAGGTTTTCCCACGTTAAATCTGGTTGTGTTCTTCTTCTCTCTCTCCTGTTTTGTGATTTTTCGTTTTGATTTTTCTGCTGCGCTGCCTGACCTAGTGAAGTTCAGGCCGAGGTATTGCCGAGATCCGAGATCAGGATCTTGTTGATTGACTTCCGCACAAAGACCCCTGAGCAGAGCTTGAGAGAATCGAGTTTTCCCAACAATATTTTTGTGAAACTCGAACTCTCGAAGTCTTAACATATTCGATCTATTTTCGATCAGACTGGAGAGATCATAAATTAGCTGAATTAGTGCATATATAAAAAAAAGAGTAAACACCCTTTTTGGTCTCTGGCAATATCTACGAAATCTTTTTTAGTCCCTGACAATAAAAAAGGACCAAATTGGTCCCTAACAGTATGCAAAAAGGGCCATGTTAGTGACAGAGGAGTTGACATAAGGACTTATAATATGGCCCTTTTTCATAATTTTAGAGACCAATTTGGTCCCTTTTTATTGCCAGAGACTAAAAAGGATTTCGTAGATATTGCCAGGGACCAAAAATGATGTTTACTCTAAAAAAAACATATAATATAAACTAACTTAAATACCACTTGACACCAATTAAATTTAAGAATAATAATAATAGAGAGTTGACTATAATGTATAGTCGTATATTATAACATGAGCCTAGTTAGAACACGTTGAATTTATCACTTTCTTGGTCGTAGAATCAAATTCCACCTATATTGGATAATTAAATGTCAACTTTTAACACATGTCGTAAATCAATCAAATATAGCGATCATGCTTAGCAAAATGATTGAACTGAATGATTATAATGCAGTTCAATTTTTAATGCTGCTTGTCAAAATAATATTGATGTCATCTCATGGATATTTCTGTATATTTATTTTTTCTACTGGGATAATTATATACATAAATGAGGACTTTAGGTTTATTATAAATTTGTTGTCAATCAACTATAAATAAGAAAATGAAATAATTTTTTATTATTTCTATTTAATATAAATCTCCTATGATTATGTCAATCTCCTATGATTATGCAAATAAGGAATTTAATCTATTTAATACAAATCTCTTATATATAATTATGTAACTGTAATTAATGATAAAAATTTCAACAATTATACCGCTCAACAAATATTATCTTATTTCAATATGCAATTTGTAAAGGTCACACTTATACACACAGAGATTTTCAACGTACGAAGGACTACTCGTTTACATTAAAGACGAGAATTCTGTATATAGGCAAACTCACTAGTTTTCTCATCTGATAGAGTAGTGGAATATGAATTTTGGGAACGACAGCACGCATTACACTGTTCGGGCTCCATCCGGATTCCATGTATCGGGTTATAAATGCGTATAGCATAGAATTGCAGTATAATTTTCTTATTTAGCATAATAAAATTAAGATTATGCACTTTGAATTTATTTAAAGATGGGACAGGTTATATTTACAAACTTTTTTTGTTTACAAACTACACTATGCAGAACCGGTCCTACATTAATCAAACAGTGTACGATCGGTCCTACATTAATGTAATTTCAAAAAAAAATTATAAACGGATCATGTCCGTTTAAAGATATACATGACATCATTTTAGTGCATCAAAGAAAATAAAAATTAATTTAGTTCATTAATCATATAAAGTGACATAAATTCAATCATAAAAAAAATTAGCAAGTTAATCCTCTAATATCACAAACTATTGCATTAATTTAGTCTCTCGATCATAAAATGATATTAATTTGGTTTTTAATTCTTATAACTTATACATAAAGAACAATTTTGATATTATTTTTTATAGGAAAAGTGTGTATCATTTTAAATGATGTAAAATTGTGTCATTTTAAGTGAGAAAAGAAATAGATAAATGAGAAGAGAGAGTAGGGGTGTCAACGGGACGAGTCGAGCTTTGGTCTTAAAAGGCTAAGCCTGTGATTAAATGTGTCGGCCTTACCAAGCCTGTTACCTGTTACCTGTTACGAATATAATTATCGGCCTGTGGCCTGCCTTATTTACAAAAAATAAAAGCCTGATTTGGCCTGTTAAAAAAAATAAGACAATAAAAATTTATTCAAACAGAATATACAATCAACAACACTAGTAATTCCATAAATATTCATAAATTCAATGTATATCGAAACAACATAATATATAACAAAATTCAAAAAGTCTGTTTAACTAATAAAATATGGGTGAAATGGATTGAGAGGAGAGAGAGCTATTACAAATAGTATAAAAAATATAAATAAAAAAAAATAATATATTAGGCCAGCCTGAGAGGCTTCAAGGTCGAGCTTTTGAATTGGAGCCTAAAGCCTTTTTACTAAACGAGCTTTTATAGAAGTCCAAGCCTGGTTCCAACAACCAATATTAGGCATGTAAGCCTGAGCCTTCACGAGCCAAGCCAAAAGCCCCTGAAAGGCCCCTGGCTCGTTTATCACCCCTAAGAGAGAGTGGACAAAAAAATATAAAAGTGTGGATGCTACCTATTTGTAAGATTAAAATGACATAAGTTGTATCATTTGAAAGGATACACAGTTTTTCTATTTTTTATTAATGATAAAATTCTTTAGACTATAATTATTTGAAAAGACAGCTGCAAAAACTACATTGGATGACGCTATTGTAGCGCGCCAAATACGTAAGCATATGATGTCATCACTAGTCAGATGCGGTATAATAAGTCAATCAGGGAATAAACAAATAATTAAGAGAAAAATCAATTTGAAGGCATCAATAAAAGATCAACAAGAACGTGAGATTATTGAAGGTTCATTTAGTTTTTAAAGAAATCCGTGTTATTAGGAATTAATTAAAGGTAGTTCATTAATTGTGATTCCACCAAACACAATCTGTCAATCCAAATTATTACTTCTAGATTCAGAAGAAATAAAAATTATTAAAAAATAAATAACGGACAAAGCTATAGCGCCTCTTATGTGATAGGTACACGTACACGTAATGTATAATTATTTTTTTATTTTAAAGGAGAAGCGCGCAAGATTTCAACACCCTCATAAAATGATAAAAAAAATTTCATTGCATGTATGTATACTAATTTTTTTTCAAATAAGTTACATTGATCAGTGTATGCTTCTCCATGTGTACCTATGAACATGTTCATTGGCCAATTTTTACTTTAAGAAAAATTTTCATAAAAAAATACTCTGTACCAATTACCTTAAACATTACATTATCGTAACATTTGTTAGCTATGTAAACTTTATTATATATATATATGGTTTATTTTAAAGATAAAACAGAATATGACGTTAAGTTAAAAAAGTAAGGCATTTTAATTTAATTAAAATAAATAAAATTAAAGATAACAAAAAATTCTCTATTACTGTATCCACACCTCAAAACATTACCTAAATAATTAGGATACTTCAGTAACACCCTTGTTTTGTCAGGAGGCCCAAGTTATATATATACTTCAAAACTTTTAAAGCCCATTCCTGGGAACACTGAACTGCTGAAGATTCTCTCCCAATCATAACTGTTCCTTTAGCCCAAATTTATTTTCCTACTTTTATTCTTTTGCTTTTTCTCTAACACAGAAAAGTGAAGAGTGAAGATTCCTCCACAAAAGGGGAGGGAGAAATTGATGGGGCTAAGTATGGAAGAAGGAAGGGCTCGGTGCTTGTTTCATTGATTAAGGTTTCTCCAACTTCCCATTACTTTTGGCTCTCCATTACAAATTGGAGGATTTTCCCTATAATGACTTTATCCTTATATATATACATGGATACATATAAAGGACATATATAAAATTGCTATGTTGTCATGAGAGATGAGAGAGCCTCGCAGAACCGTTAGATTCAAAACATCTAATTAATAACACATATACTATCTTTCTATCCATCTCAATGTGTTGGGAAAACTCGGTTCCCTCAAGTTCGGCTAAGCAGCCTTTGTGCGGAAGTCAATCAACAAAATCCTGATCTCGGATCTTGGCAATAGCTCAGCCTGAACTTCACCAGATCAGGCAGCGCAGCGA